ACTACGGAAAGCTGTATTTGAAAGATTCTAATACGTGTTGGAATTATGAGGAGGACTATATTCAGGACAACTGCAATATGTGTCAAGACTATCGAGACAAGAAAGATCAAACTCAATTTTGAGAACCCAAAGGTTTATAGGCAGTGAGCAAAGTGATGTGATCATTGGATAGAAAGTGACAAAGACGGGATAGCAAGAGTGCTGTGTATTTAATCTTGTTACACTGACTTGCCAGGATTCCTGTTTAAGGCAGATTAAAAATGTATATATGAGAGGTGGAAGATGAGGAACTTGATCAGATATGGAAGGTGATTAGATACCAAGGATGGGGACCTTTTCTAAACTAAAGTCACAGGATTCTTGCTAAACCTTAGTTTGGCAGGCTGAAGACAGGGCCCAAAGAGATCTAGTTGAAAAAGAAGGCACACATGAGCCTAACAAATTCGATCAAGAAAAGTCCTTCATGGAGAAATCAAGTTGGTACTGAACACGAAGCTCTTCCTTCCTGGTCAGTTTTCATAATCCAGAAGTTTCTGCACAAGCTACTAGGGGGAAAAGTCAGCAACGATCTTACCCAGCTGGCAACCCTGTGAGCTACAATAATTATTGATGTGGCAAGATATGCCCAGAGATGCAATAGAGGCACAAGTGTCATGGGAGTAGCCAAACACTTTTTCTGATTGGATTTATGGCTGGCTCCACAGGAGGAAACACATATCTGGTACCATAAATCAGCAAGAACCTGTGATTGGGGAGTTCATAGAATCCAGGGTGAACTGACTACTCTTATTTTGCTAAATGGAGATAGCATCAAACTGCCTTCTGAATTCTCATCTCTATACCCATAGATTAGTTCAGCTCTTAGACCTCATCAGAGAAATCTCTTTGCACAATGGACAGTAGTGGACACAGTCAAAACTGACCAAAGTATAGAGACAAGAGTTAGTGGAATGTTCAACCACAGACAGGATATCTATATCACAACCCCTCCCCAAAGGCTCAGGAACCATCACAGAAGAGTGGCCAGAAAGATTCTAAGAGTCAGAGACTAGAGGAAAATGAGCAAAAGAGTGCCTTGGGAGCATGACAGGACTGCTGCTCTCATGTCATAAACTCACAGACACTGTGGCTGCCTGCACAAGACCGGCACAAGATGAAGACAGCTGACATTCCAGCTTGGAGGAAGGAAGAGGGTTCCCCAGTTCTCACCCCTAGCTGAGGAGCTAATGACAGTTGATGTTTTCTGGGGGAGTGAGACTCAACTTTCTTCAATGGTCATTCAATGGACAGATGGCCCCACAACCATGAGTACATGGATGGCACAAACTGAACTCAGTGGGTTATTTAAAAAAGAAGTTACAAAGTTGGGATGGGATGGAGCATGGGAGTTAGGTCTAGGAGGAGTAGGGGGTGGGTATGAACAAAATACATTATAGGCATGTATGAAATTCTTAAAGAATAAAAATATTTCTGAAAGAAGGGTCATTGTCAGAAATCAGTTTCCTCAGCCTAGTGAGCACTAAATGTGTTCAACAATGACAAACAGATTGGTGGCTTTAAGCAGGTCATCACTATGGTTTAAATTATAGATGTTAAGCAGCTTTGTTGATACATTCATAAAAATACTCCTCCATGAAGTCCTTGAGGCAGCCAGTTTGTCTCAATTGAAGATATATTCCTTCCATGTTATTTCAATCTACTTTTAAAATTGTTTGCCCTTGGTATGTCCTTTTATTGAGTTTTAAATTTTTAGCTTAAATTTCCAAAAAATACCAGAGCTGGTAGCTCATACATATAATCCCAATACTTGGAAAGTTGAGCTGGGATGGACATGAGCGCCACATCAGCTTGAGCTACATAGTAAATTCCAGGCCAGCCTAGGTTACAGTGTGAGACCATCTCAAAAAATACACAATTTCAAAAGATAGGAACTCCCTGCTTATTTTCCACAATCTTAGACTGCCATAGTGGGGAGATTTCACTTCATATGTGTGCTTCATGCTCAGTTCAGGAAATCTCCTTACCTTGTTCCGTAACGTAGGCAGTGCACCTAATATTACTGAACCATTCTCTTCTAGTGTCACTGTATTAACAGGGATGACCAAATGCAAACCAGTAAAATAATGTGTGTTCTTGGATAGCTCCCATTCACAGCCTCTGTAGTCTGTTTGTTCCAGGGCTCCACCCAGTTTTTCCATTCCATGTCTTAACTGTGCCTTTTCTTTAAAATTCTTTTCCACGTACCATTTATATACAGACTTGGATAAAGAGGTTCCCAGCACAAAATGACAATGTCTGCATCTTATCAGATGCTTGGATTCCACAGTAGTAATTTCAATGTGAAACAAATTGTAATGACATTTTTTTAGCAACTGAAGTTTTTCAGTAACCCCACAAATCACAGCTCATTATTGGCAACACCCATCCTGAACCCTAATGATATATACTTTTCAAAAATCTAAGAGGGACTGGGGAGGTAGCTCTGCAGTTAATAGTGAATACTGCCCTTACAGAGGACCTGAGTTCAGTTCCCTGTACCCATATCAGGTGGCTCACAATTGCCTGTAATTCCAATTCCTGGGGGGATCAGATACCTCTGGCTTCTGAAGGCACCTGCACTCATGTGCTCATATCCACACACAACTGTGCACATGTACATATAATTAAAAATCTTTTAAAAAAACATAAGCTCTGTAGACACATAATTTGACCATATTAAAAAACTTATGACCCACAACCTCCTTAAAATCAGGGTTCATGCCTCTTCATGAAAGTGTCCATGTGCACACAGTGTAGTATAGTGTACATGTGTGATGTATGCCTATGTGTGTGGAGGATTTGGTCTGTGCACCTGAGTGGATGCATGGAAACCAGAGGATGTCAGATGTCCTGCCCTATCACTTTCTGCCTTATCCCTGAGGAAGAGTCTCTCACCGAACCTGGAACCGGGCTGGCATCCAGGAGGCTGCAATAGTTCTGCTGTCTCTGCCCCATATAGCACTAGGGTTACAGCTGTGTGTATAACCACACCCAACATTTTACATGGGTGTTTTGACTTGAAATCGGGTCCAAATGCTTGCTTAGCAATCCATCTGCCCAGCCTCCTGAAAATTATTTTAATATGAATACATTAAATTTTATTTAACATCTGATACTCCTAAGGTGATTTTATAAAGAATACTAAAAAATATTCCGTAATGCAAAATGAAAGTTCGCTGAGGCAGCATGAGGTATATGAACCAGCTATAGCTTACAATCATTTTAAGATATAAATTCCCAAATCCTATTCTAAGACCCATTCTCCATACATCCTTCTAGATTATAAATTTCAATCTTATTCTGTAATTGTTTTCATATAATTTCATATTTTCTGAAAAGTATGACAGTAAATCTAGTTTTGCCTGCTGTTAGTATTTTGCACTGTCATTCTCATTCTCTCTTTTCCTCTCACCACCCTCCCTTCTCTCCCCTTGTTCCCCTCTCCCCGTTTCTTTTTTTGAAATAATTTGTTATTTTTATGTGTGTAAGTGTATTGCCTGAATGTGTGTGAGTGCACCCATTGTGCAGTGCCTGAGGAAGACAGAAAAGGGCATCAGATCCCCTGGAACTGGAGTTACAGATGGCTGTTAGCTGCCATGTGGGTGCTGAGAATCGAATCCAGGTCCTCTGTAAGAGCAGTCAGTGCTCTTAATTGCTGAGCCATCTCTCCAGCCCCCTCCTCCTGTCTCTCAATAAGTAGAGAGAAAAACAGATTTTTGTGTGTGTCAACATGTGTCCTGACACAAATTACATTCTACTAGGGGAGAAAAGTAACAAAATATAAGTTAAAAACAGTAAGTCTAGGGAGATGTAAATGGTTCCAGGTTAAGTGACACATTAAAATATACACTTATATATGTGTCTGCATCAAATATATCTCTTCCTGACAGATGCATTTCTTGAAATACTCCCATCCTCGTTAGAGGATGTCGTACTGTATGAAAAACCCTCCTGCTGTTCTTGAAACAAGCATTTTGAACTGGAACACACTTTGGAGTCACTCTTTGTGTTTTCTCAACTGACTGAGCATTACTGTCTACAAAATACCACAGAATTGTCTGTAGTGATTCTTTTTATTTCTTTTATTTCCATTTGAATTAATTTTTCGCTTAAAGAACACAGACCAGAAATCCATTATATAATAGAGCTTAAAAACAACACCCCCAAACAGCCCAGGGCTGGTAAAGAAGTCTTCACAGGCATTACAAGCATCTGTTTTTTCCTAATCTTTTCTGATGGGGTTAGGATGGGGAGATACAGAACAAGGATAACATCTTCGCTTTAGCTGTTTCTTAACTAATGGGCTGTTACAATCCTGAAAACACAACCAAAGGAAAAAGCAGGGGAAAAAAATCATTCTTGAACAGGAAAGCAGAAAAAGGTTTTTCTATGGAGAGTTTTACCTTAACAGAGACTCTACACAATCTAGTATTAATTGCTGAAAAGTAGACAGTTAATTATGGCAGGTCTTAAGCCCTAAAACAAGTCTATTTTTATTTTTGAGACAGTCTGTGCAGCCCAGGCTGGTCTTAAACTTAATCATTCTGCCTCAACCTCCCAAGTCTTGGGATTGCAGGTGTGGACTACCACACCTAGCAAACTGGTATTTTTCTATGTTGTAGTAAATACTTAAACAGCTAAAACATATGCAAACAAGCTGTATGGCCTTATAAGCTAGACTATCTCCCTTTGGCAAGCAGGGTAAATGATCTCATAGCATGACAGCATGGAAGCAACATATGGAATTCTCTAATTGACTACAAAAAGCAAAATCCCAGGATCAGTTGTGATCCTTAAAGCTACCACATTTTTATACTATATGACTATGATCTTGAAAGTTACAATTAGTAAATGATTCAAAGAAACAAACTTTTAATTCAAGATAAGACAACTGGAGGAAAATACACACAGCTTCACTGAGCCTTCAGTCTGGAAGACTACTTCAAAGCTGACGACTCTCTTCACTTCTTCAGAAGATACTTCAGTTGTTTTTTCAGGAAAATGATCTGCTCGTACTTTTGCTTTTCCTGTAACTCAAGCTGCTCTAGCAGAGACTGGAAATGACTCTTGAGGGTTGGGTTTTCCAATTTTCTAAGGAGATCTTTCTGCCTTTGTGCTTTTCCCTGAATATCTTGGATCTTTTTCTCCTTGTGACGAATCAGCTTCTGAATTCTCCTAATTATTGAATTGTAAACTTCGTCTGCTTCACCCAAGGTAAATTCCATAAATTTTGCTTGTAGCTCCCTTTCCAGATTCTCTTCAGAATCATCTTCCTCTTCCTCTTCCTCTTCTTCTTCATCTTCATCCTCCTCATCTTTTTCTTCTAGGCCATCGTGACTGCTAGAATCATGAGATGTGGTCTGAGACATAGCATATTCTGATGAGACTCGACCACTTATTTCTGGGGTTCCTGGAAGGCCTGAAATGCATGCTTGACTTTGTGTTGTCTTAGATTCTTCTTCATGAACGACTTCCCATCGGGTGCTGACGGCTTCAGCATCTGAGCGCAGCAGCCTCTTCACTTCCTTCTCCACATCTTTAGAATCAATGTACCCACTACAACCTTCACTATGCTTCATATCAGGGAACTTTTTTGTTGTTTTCCGGAACCTTTTCTTTCTGACATTCTTCAGTGGTGGAGTAATGCCATGATTCCAAATATACTTTTTCTCTGCCTCCCCTTCATTACGTCCAGTTACAGTAGCATCAGTGGAGGTAACTGGTTCTTCTGGAGTAGAATGAAGATCACCATCTGCACTGCACACAAGCATCTGGGAAACATCTGCTGTTTTATAAAAGGTTCTTCTATCAAGAGTTTTCAGGCTCTCGATAACACAAGGCAAATCAACCACCTTGGCAGACAGTGGGATGTTGTCTACCTCAACAATGGCACGCCGGCCATCAGAAGATAAATCAATTTTCAGTTTATCTTTTCCGGTGGCATTGCCAGAACTTATGATCTTCCTGACAGTTGACGCATGTTCCGGAGGTAGACGCAATATGAACTGGTTCTCTGATTCGAAAGGACGTTTATCTCGGCCTTTACTCATCTTGGCTTTTCGGCCCACTCCCGCCAGGATTGCTAAGGGTTGGACCTGACCTCTCTAGACAGGTGCTGGCGGGCTAAAGCTTCTGCTCCGCCCCAGGGAGTCAAAGACCTGCGTCAAGGAGGTGAAGCGTCTGAGAACTGACTGCGACTGCGCACACCTGGCCATGCCGCCTCCCCACACCTCCAACCTCCCCGGGACTACCTTCGGCTCCAGGCATCTCCGCTCGCCTCCACTCACCTCCACTCGGCCCCACGCGCCTCCACTCACCTCCACTCGGCCCCACGCGCCTCCACTCGACTCCACGCACCTCCACTGCCCCCCGCGGGCCTCCACTAGACTCCACGCACCTCCACTGCCCCCCGCGGGCCTCCACTCGGCCCCGAGGGCCTCCACTCGCCTCCACTGCCCCCCGCGGGCCTCCACTCGCCTCCACTCGGCCCCGCGGGCCTCCACTCGCTTCTACTCGCCCCCGCGGGCCTCCACTCGGCCCCGCGGGCCTCCACTCGCTTCTACTCGCCCCCGCGGGCCTCCACTCGGCCCCGCGGGCCTCCACTCGCTTCTACTCGCCCCCGCGGGCCTCCACTCGGCCCCGCGGGCCTCCACTCGCTTCTACTCGCCCCCGCGGGCCTCCACTCGCTCCCCGCGGGCCTCCACTGGCTTCTACTCGCCTTCGCGGACCTCCACGCGCCCGCGTGGGCCTCCACCTGCCCCCGCTGGCCGCCACACACACCTCCGGGCGCCTCCAGTGGCTTCCACAGCCTCTGACTAACGGTCACTAGGTGGCCTCGAGGCAGCGGCGGGCAACCACGTGCAGCGGAACTTACGTTTGAATAGCGCCCAGCGTGGAGCGGGCACTTCCGGTCACCAGTCTCCTCACACAAAACCGAGACTTGTCGAAGCATTTTAGTTTCACAGAGGATCGCCCTCCAGCTGTGAAGTGGCTGTTCCGTTTTGGTGTCTGGTTTCAGGCACACAATAAAAGGTGTGGCGCATTTGGTGGCGCCTGGAGCCGTGGGCTTGTCCCTGTCAGCTGTGGTGACACATCCACGGCCGCAAGCCTACACATAACTCAAATCTTCACCGAAACTCACATAAATCGGTGGCCTCCTCACATTTGTTCAGAGATGGCCCAAGGTTCTCCGGGCTCAACACTACAGATGTTCCAGTTCAAACAACTGTTTGATTCTCCCAAAGACCTTGAATAATGGGGGTGGGGGACCTTAAAGCCCTTAATGGTGGTTGTTGCTGTTCGTTGTTTTTCCCCTAAGATTTATTTTTATAATTTTTTCAGGCTTGAAAGATGGCTCAGCAGTTAAGAGCATTGGCTGCTCTTTCAGAGGGCCCAGGTGACAGCACCCACATAAGGGCTAACAACTGTCCGTAATTCCAGTTCCAGGGGATCCAACGCCCTCCTCTGACCACTGCGGGTACTGCACAACAGGAGTTCGCTTACACTCATACACACAAAATAAAAATACTTTTTATTGATTTATTTGGAGTTACAGACAGTTGTTAGCTGCCATGTGGGTGCTGGAATTTGAACCTGGATCTTCTGCAAGAACAACCAGTGTTCTTAACCGCTGAGCCATCTCTCCAGCCCTAAGAGATTTATTTTTATAAGTTTCTAATTAGTTGTACTTATGTGTCTTTGTATGAGTATGGTGCCTTCTGAGGCTAGAGGCGTAGGATTCTTTTGGGCTGGAGTTACAAGTGGTTGTGAGACACCTGTTATGGGTGCTGAGAACCAAACTCAGGCCCTCTGGAAAAGCATCGTGTATGCTTAACCACTTAGTCAACTTTCCAGTCCTAATGGCTGTTTCTTGAGCAGTATAAGTTATAAATGTCAACCAAAAGTTTTTATTTAAAATTGGGAACTACTTTAGGTTGCAGAGGTGGCACAGCTGTTAAGAGTACTGTCTGCCCTTCCAAAAAACCTTTGGTTTCTCAACATCCACATGGGGGCTAACAACCATCTGCAACTCCAGTTCTAGGAGATCCGTCACCCTCTTCGGATTTCTGGGGGTATTATAGGCATGGGTGCAGTTACATCAGGCAAAATATACCCATAAAATAAAAATTCAAAAATGTTTAATTGAGAACCATTTGATAATAATTGCAGGCATGGCACAATGACTCTTTACTTCTAAATTAGTGTGTGGACCTTAAAAGCAAGAACATAACATTCTCTGTCATCATCAAAGACCAATTATTAAAAATAGGGAAAATACCATTGGTATAATACTACTACCTAAACTATAGGCTCTATCTAGTTGTTTCTATACAATCCTTCAGAACAAGGAGAGAAAGAGAGAGAATATGAATTTACAATCCAATTTTGTTTTCCTTGGAAAACTAGAACAGATTCTACAAATACTTGACTTTTCATTTCACTTTTATATATTTCAACCTTTTTAAAGAAAAAATTTAAGTTAAAAAATTTTAAAGACAAGTGTACATGCTAAATGCTGACAGATTGCTACTCACAAACATATTAATATGTGCTGCCCACTGGATGCATTTTTGTATAGACTTAAGGTTTCTGCTTCAGCTCTATTGAACTAAAAGGCAACGTTACATTCATGCATTTTGTTCACTCATCCATGTGGCAGTGTAAGTAATTTTTTTAAAAACCTACTATAGCACTATTCTGGGTGAGATAAGCTCAGAATAAACTGATCATTAATAGCTACTTATCCTTGAATATTATAAAACACAAATAAATCCAGAATAAATGCCCGTTGTAACACTCTATAGAATACAATTGTCCATAATATTTCATTTAAAAGAAAATCAGCCTCATCAATCTTGTATTGAGTATGTAAAACTCACACATTACAACCAAGTAACAGAAAATAAAATTACTTTGGAGGGGAACCAAGAGGGCAGGGTCTCATTAGCTTAGATTGGCCTGGAATCATTAAGTAGCTGTGAATGACCTTGAACTTCTGATCTTCTTGCCTCCATCTACCAAGTACTGGGGTTACAGGTACACCACCATACCTGGTTTTATGAATTGCTGGGATCAAGATACTATTCTTATAATTATAGGATTTTATACAAGATCTTATATAGAAGGGGTAATTAAATATTAGAAATAGAAATTAGTTTTGAAATTTCAATTTTTGTCATACAGCCTATAGTTTTTAAAATATAATTTCTAATGTGTGTGCTAATTTATATACAATAAAATAAATAATATTTTATGTGGATTATAAAATTTACCCAAAAAGAAAATTCGAAAAAACTAAACAATATAAATGAAGTTTCTACTCATCCCTTCCTTCATTTTAATAGATTATATTTATGCCTGTTGTAACACTCTATCCTCGGGCTGGTATTTGCCTTCAAGGCTGAGTTATTTTATGCTTTATTGTATATCCCAGGCTATCATTTTATGAGTATGACTACTACTATGGTAATAGATTTGTTTAAAGGTCATTTTCCTCTAAGAATGCACATTCATTTTTACATTTGGGTACATCTATATAAAGGTTGGTTTGTGCTTATTCATTTCGTGTTTGTTTATAAATATTTGTTCACCACTGCATGACTGTAATTTTTTGTAATGAAAATTCTAGATAAGATATTTCAGGAAACATTTGTGCTAGAGATAAAGAATGGTGAACTAAGGAAGTGACTAAATAGGAAACTGTTTTACGATAGGCAACACCACCCCATCCTAGAGAATTGTTTCACACACTAAGAAGATACAGATAATTCAGGAAAGAGCATCCTTCTAAATTGGTTGTAATTTCACGTTCAGTGCAATGTGATAAAGAAATAAGGAAGAGCCAGCTAAAAATCTGTGTATGTGTCTCAAGCAGTTATAAAATTGTTTCAGCCACAGCACGTAGAAAATAACCAGATTATTCTGTTTGAAGGCAGTGCATATACACTTCTGGTGATATTTTGAACAAATTTGCTGGATTAATGAATGAATGAAATTTTTTTGTTTTATTACTTTTTGAGTGAGTGTGTTGTGTGTGTATGGCATGTGTGTGTGTGTGTGTGTGTGTGTGTGTGTGTGTGGTGCATGTAGAGGCCAAAGAAGGACCTCAGATGTCCTCCTCAATCCTCTCTGCCATATATATATTTGCATTTATTAATTTACTGTGTGTGTTTGCATGTGTATACACAATACTATGGTGCATCTGTGGAGAACAGAAGACAATTTGTGGGAGTAAATTCTCTCCTTTTATCATGTGGGTCCCAGGCCAACAGTCTTGGTGACAAGTGCCTTTACCAGCCGAGGTAACCCACTCACTCTTTACCTTACTTTTTGAAACTCTGTGCTTCAGCTAGACTTGTTGACCAATGAGCTCCCAGAATCCTTTTGTCTCTGCACCACGCATGCCAGGATCACGGGTCCTTGTGCTTGCACACCAAGAGCTCTTACCCACTGACCTGGCTCCACAGCTCCCAATGGATGAGGTTTTTTAAATATATACAATATTTTATTCTTTGAGAATTATACATGCAATGTGTTTTTGTCATATTTATCCTCACTCACCCCCTCAACTCCTGATCCACCCACATGTCCCCTCTGAAACTTCAATGTTAGATATGTCTATATCTATATATAGATATAGATATCTCTCTCTGTATATATATATCTGAGCCCAATTAGTACTTTCCATATATGCATGGGTATGCAGTCATCTACTGGCATATGGTCAACATACCAAAGACCACATCCCTAAAGAAAACTGACTTTCCATACCTTATCAGCCATCAACTGTCAATATCTCCTTATAGAGGTGTTCGTGTGTCCCTACCCCATCCATACTGAAATGCTGACTGGCTTGATCGTATGCAGGCAATCAGATCTGCTATGAGTTGTAAGAGATCAAATAAGATCCATTTCCCAGCTTTCATGCAAATAATTTCAATCAGAACTAAACCTGTATATTTAACACATACAAACTACTATAAATTCTAAATTCTCTTTCAATTTTCATTTTCATGATCCTCACCCTCAAGAAGTTTCATATTTGTACTTA